GGCCTGGGAACGCCTTGGAGTTCCCCCGGAGGAGCTGGAAGAAGTGGCTGGGGAGAGGGAGGTCTGGGCCTCCCTTCTGAAGCAGCTGCCCCCGCGACCCGACCCCAGATAGGCGGAAGAAAATGGATGGATGGGTGGATGGATAGGGTCAGGGACAGGATGTCTAAAGTGAATAAAGGTAATTTTAGGCTTTGGAATGGTAGTGTTTGTGCATTTTCTAAACTTTCAGAAATTATGACAACAGATTCTGCCCCATCTCGTCAAAAAAATGACGCATGGGGAGTACCCGACGCGTCAAAATCGAACACAGAGGGAACTTTGGAAAAGCGTCAATATGCGACGACTCGGGAGTGAGAATGGTTTGCCATACAAAACAACCAAGTTTAAAAAGCAGTCCTAAAAAGGGGGGTAATCTATGCAGTCTTGTTTAGTACGGTAATTGCAGAAGGGACAAATTATTTTTTTATAGATGTTTTTCCTGGTCAGGGGAACTTTATAACGCCTGCTAGAGGGTAGAAGCTGGAAAAGATGGTGAAGGGAATGTGACTGGTCCTCTGTGATCTGAGTGGCTTTCCTGATCACAGAGACATTGTACAACTTTATCTTACTAGCCTGGCCTAGCCTCTTTAGCCTTTTAACACTCACATAAGTGCCTGAACAATCACATTTGTATGGTGATCATAATATAGTGCTGACCGTGTGACAATATGCTTTCTTTAATTTCTAAACGCTAAATAGTATTTTTACAGTCTTGTTTTAATAGTTAAAAAAAGTTACAACTGGTCAGGATTCCCTTTAAATGAGCTCTCATGAGGTATTTTTTGTTATCATTGTATTAGAAAAAAAAGTACTGAAATCAAAATGAAGAAAAAAGTGAAGATGTGGCCTACTGTTTTCCATTCATCATAGATTGAAAGAATCATCTATTCTATTAAATAAAAATACAACAACACTACCCTACAGTGGACTGAATAAACAAATACTAAATCTGAATAACTTATTTCTGAAAAGGTTTATGATCAATAGATTTCTGAGGTAACAATTCCAATACTGCTGACCAACAGTATGGTCCATAAATCTTACCCGCTTCCTTCTTGAACGACACCGGGCTGAACTCCTAACGACTGTGGCTTTGTCTGCAAGGCCCGGTTGACTGTACCGGAAGTTCCGGCGGACCGTCTCATAATAGGTTTTGCAAGCAGCTGGAAAACATTTTTGAGCAATATAAATTTAAAGCATTAACACAGTACGTACAACAACAGCATTCAAAATAAAAAACAGACAACCTAATAGATACTTACACACAAATGCATCACTATCTACACCATAAAAATCCGGGCTTGCCTGAAGAGTTTTGACCAGCACTGATGTGACCTCTGTGTTGTGAGGCGAACATAGTCTGTGAAAATAAACGGAAAATTAAGTAACGATAAAAACAAACTTTCTAATTTACATAGTGCAAACTTTACGATTCTTATGGTGCGTTCACACCGAACGCGATTTCAGCGTCAGGAGCAGCAGGTTTACATACAAAGTCTATGGTGGACGCGCTTCAAGCAACGTCGGGAAGTTCTGCGGCGCCTCAAGCGCGATTAGAGCAGCGCGATTTGGACGATTTGGACGATCTGAGCGTCAAATCGCGCTGCTCTAATCGCGCTTGAGGCGCCGCAGAACTTCCCGATGTTGCTTGAAGCGCGTCCACCATAGACTTTGTATGTAAACCTGCTGCTCCTGATGCTGAAATCGCATTCGGTGTGAACGCACCATAAGCTGAGGTTCTTCTTCCATGAAGCAGCTCTGTTGTCCTC